AAGAATCCATGAAAATTACAGAACGAAGAACGAAAAATCAGAAATTTGGCGACAATGATAATCCCTGAGAACAAAATTAAGAAAAAAAGAGGTATAAGAGGTAACACAGAGAAGCACCAGCATGAGTCACGAATTTTACAAAACAGCACAAATCAACGGCTCGGTAACAATCACCGTTATAATGACATTTACTGTTCAAAATCAACTGATTTTTCCATGGCTAGAATCACACTGGGAGAGAGACTGCTTCAGAAACAATAAATTTTAGACGACAGAAGGTATGGCGACAGCTTCCAGCACTCCACATCCAACGGTTCTTCCTCTGGCTATTACTCCTTACTCGTGCTCCTCATGCGTTAATGCACAGATAAGTTTGAATAGTGCCACACAACTGTACGGAGCGACAACGCCTATGAGTCTAGACAAAGCTCTAACTTAGATCAACCAAGATTTGAACAACCCAAAAATCTCTCGCAAAATTAGTTTCAACGCCTCAAAAAATGTTGTCTTCTAGTGTAGCGAGGAGACAGATGAAGATAGCTAAAGTACCCCATTTTTGGAGTGTGCGTAAAATTACCTCCGTTTCAAAAAAAACTGGTGCCACGGACTTACTGCTTTTTGCGTCTATCGCGATTTCATTACTAAAATTTTGATCAATCAATAAAAATAACTGGTTCGTCTTAAGCAGCTGTTAAAGGAGTCGCGACCCAAGAAGTCAGCCACTATCAGTTTCGATTGATACAACTATCACTGTCAGTGATGTGGTGAGTGCCCACAACTGTGTCTGAACTGCGCCACCGTTTCATGCCCCAGAGCACGCTGGGAGGGGATGCCACTGTCAAGCAATGCTAGCATCGGGCTTCTGTTTGAACGGAGCCTGTAATGCGGCCGCAGCTGCAGCAGCAGCAGCAGCAGCAGCACTGCTCTGGATGCTTTTTAAATGCTCATCACTAACTTGTAAATGATGCTCCAGAGCTGCATTGAAAGCATCCGCAGCATCGACTCTCAAGCTAACAAGTAACGGATTAGCGCCGTTCACACTATCTTCAGTACCTGATGTGCCGCTGCTGCCGCCCAGCTGCAAATGGGGATGGTGATGAAGATGCTCCAGGCTGCTGCTATCACGCAGCCGCTTCGCATCGCGCTCTTCGCTTCTTGTTTTCTTCGAATGCCGCACCCGACGGCAGCGAGCCGCCAGCTTGCGTGTCACATCACGAAACACTTCCCAAAACTCGTCCTCATTCGGGATTCGATGCATCATTACTTTGCGGCACACATCTGTAACATCACACACCACTCAATTATGGGTCATAAATTACATCATTTTCCGAAGCGTAGAGTTAAAGGATACGTAGGGGATTCCGAGAGGGGACGGGGGATAATTCATTTCCAAGCAAAATTTCTTTCAAAAAATTCACTACAGCATACAACACAAGCAAGATTCATCATCGCCCCACTGCAGCCCTTTAGCCCTTTCCACCATCTTAGGACAAACCAACCCTGTCCCCACCCCTTCTCTCCTCCATATGCCACTGATCTGAGCCCTACTTTGCTTCGCCTCGAAACTCTCCTCGCGGCTAATGTTCCGCACATTTTCAAATACTTACAAGCAATATAGTGAATTCCTTCTTCCGGCAAATTTTTGTAAGTTGAATGATTCGGGCCAGCAACAGTGGTTTGCGCCATTAGCTTTGTACCAAATACCCGCTTCTCGGCTAACATTTTGGACAGAAACGCCATCGCTTTCCGCACATCATCATCGCATCGACGATTCTGATGGAACTGCTGTATAATCTGCTCCTCGCTACTAGGAGTAAAACCTGCAATGAAACTGTTTTTTCATTATTGAAAGGACAAAAAAATTTTGTCAAACTGAAGGTACGAAATATCAAAAAGTGAGAAAAATCGTGACAAAATAAATTCAGTTTTCAGAATCACCTTTAAAAGACGATTTACCTGGGTCAGACAGATATGCCTGTGGCACCGGGATTTTGATATTTGAGATGCTGCTCTGTGAAATTCCTTTCTGTCGTATAAATTTCACATAATCATCAGATACAGGCTTCTTAAAGAAAAA